TTGCACCAGGGCAGGGTTTCAGGTTAAGTGGAATAGCGCGAGAGAGATCTGAGCAGCCGTGGAGTATATCCGAAGAAGGCTCCCAGATATCTGGAACAGTGAAGAGGAATTGAGAGAGGGCGGGTCCACAGGATAAGTCAGAAGGAAGGGAGATGTGGCAGAAAGGCAGAAAAGGAGGTTTAAATTACGTAGCAAATGTCAGAGGCTCCAAGATAACGAAGGCCAGTGTTCATGGGAACTCGGCCTGATCAGAACTGGTTTCCTTGACTTCTCCCAATTTTATACTAAAAGGCCCTAATACTAAATCACATAGCAAAGCTTTTAAATGCCCACCACTTTTTCTTCCTCTACTGATGGGGAATAAAATGGGTTATTAACCTTTGAATAGGTACTGCATGAAATAAAAAGGGAATGAAGGATTTAGAAGCAGAAGCAAGCAGTCTCAGCTCCTGGAGTGGATCAGCAAGTCCTATCCTTCAGCCCACAGGGAAAGGCTGATTAGGGCCAATGAGGATCTGGCCCCCAGACTTTTATTTGCTGGTGGAGGGGATCAAGCTGAGAAGGTGTGGTTTGGAGTTGGTGCAGTCATCTTGCTACCACAGGGGAGAGCCCGAGAATCAAACTAGCACAGGGAGGAAAGCAGAGAGAAGCTAAGAGATGGGAGGGACTGGTTTTTCAAAATGTCATTTGAGCCCCTTGATTAAGCTGTACCTGACATTTCTCTATCTAAGTTAGAAATAGGCAAACTCTTCATATAAAGCGCCAGGTAGTAAGGGTTTTAGGCTCCGTGGGCCATATCATTTCTACCACAGGTATCTGTGTCTGCCTAAATGATGTGTAAACTGATGGGGCATAGCTGTGTTCCAGTAAATCTATTTATAAGGGAAGGCGGTGAGCAGGATTTAGCCCAAGAGCAAGAGTTTGCAGATCCCTCATCTAAGGCACTAAATTCCTCTTTTTGCTTAAACATATTTGGTTTGGGTTTTTCTAACACTTATAACTGAAAAAAACCTTAATTGATACAGGTTCCTAGGCTGTGAACAACAGAAATAGACTCTGAATTCCTTGAGAAAAAACAGAGGTTTATTATCAAAATCAAGCACAGCCAAAATTCGAATTCCCAGGAAAGCGATTCCAATCGGTGTAGCTCAGGTCCCATGTCCAGGGAAAGGGGATTTGCCAGTCCTCCCAAGGCTGCATGCAAGAGGGAAGGGGTTGTTTCTGTAGGGAAAATTAGGGGAGAGTTATTAGACACACACTGGAGACTGGGTCTACTTCGTAAAGACAGGGAAAAGTTTCCAAATCAAGTGCATTCAGTAGGTGCCCTATACATGCACTTCATCAAAGACAGTGTTGTGTGTTAGAAAAAAGAGCCTGTTGACAGAAGACCTGGTCCTTGTTGTACTTCTACCACTAACCTGCTGTGTTAACCTGGGCAAGATACGGCATTTCTCTGGGCCTTAGTTCTTTAAGTACAAAAAGAAAGTGATGAACTAGGAATCTTTAAGGCCCCTCTGAGTGCCAGGCTTTAGTGGTTTTTTTCCATCTATCCATCATCTCACCTATTAATCTCTAAGACTTAATACCTTGTGGCCTGTGGTTCACCTTTTTGCATAATCACTAGCCATGGGCCCTCCCTCATGTTACTTAATTCTGTGAGTATTGATTTTCTCATCTGTTATCAGCCCTACCTTGCAAGGTGGCGTGAGGATTAGAATTACATATGCTATATATGTGCAGAGGCAGTGTGTGTACTGGTTTGGAGTAGAGTCTTCAGAATTAGATTAGCAGGACTCAGTCTTTGTTTAGCCTTTTTCTCACATGCCACATTGAGCAAACTATTTAAACTCTTGGAATCTTTGTTTCCTCACTCGTAAAATGGGGCTATCTATAGAACCCTCTTGATGAGATTGTTGTGTGGATTAAATGAGACACTGCCTATGACTTGCTTAGTACAGGGATTGGTACGTGGTACTTTGTAAAGAGTAGCTGTTTATTGTAATTGCTTGGAATGATTTTATTTGGTTTCTAGAAATAGGATTCTGATAGAAAGTTTTTCCTGTTTTTTACTGTCCTTGTTATGGAATTTTTCAAAATAATTCTTTGGGCCTTAATGCTGTTGGTTGTTTTTAGTTATTTCTCTAAAATTACAAAGGTAACAGATCCCTATTTTTTTAAAAAAATTTGATTTTCTAACTATTATAGTAGGATGCTTTCATTTATAGTAACAGACTTAAGAAAGGACATTTATTGGCTCATATAATTTAAAGTCATATAGGCTTAATACAATACTCAACAGTGTCCTCAAAGATCATTTTCTTCCTCTTTCTACACTCTGCCTTCTGTAGGGACCATTTCACGGTAAAACAATCTCAACTCTTGACTGCAAGAGATGGTTGCCAGTAGGTCTGGGAGCTACCTGCTTCCTTTTCCATATCCTACAGGAAGAGGAAAAAAGTCTCTCTCCCTGTGGCTTTCTTAAGAAAAGCAAGAAAGTTTCTTTCCCATAAGCCTCTAGCTAATGGCTTTTCGAGCCTCACTTGCCCAGATTGGGTCATGAACCCATTCCTGAAAGAAGTTGGTCCCACAGAGGCTGGGCATCAACTAGTGTGCTTAAACTAGTCTGGCCCCACCTCTGGGCCCGGCAGACTGTCCGTGTGGCCAGTCTCGAGTGCAGGCCAGACAGGCCCCACAGGACACACTTCCATGACCGAGGGTGACGGCAGAGCCCCACCGTGGGTCACCGCCTCCATTTTAATCCTCTGCGTTGCTTCTGTGTCCCTGCATTAGTTTGCTTGGGCTGCCACAGCAAAGTGCCACTACCTGGGTGGCTTACATGACAGAAACTTATTTTCTCACAACACTGGAATCTGGAAGCCCAAGATCAAGATGTCGGCAGGGTTGGTTTCTTCTGAGGCCTCTCTCCTTGGCTGGTAGACGGCTGCCTTCTTTTTGTGTCTTCCCGTGGTCTTCCTTCTGTGCTTGTCTGCGTCCTGGTTTTTCTTATAAGGACACCAGTTGCACTGTGTTAGAGCCAACCCATTTGATACCATTGTATCTTAAGTATCTTGTTATGAAGGCACTATCTCCAAATACAGTCACATTCTCAGGTCCTGGGGTTTAGGACTTCAACATATCAATTTCAAGGGGGACATGATTTACCCATAACAGTCCCCACCTCTCAGGCCTACTCCTCAGAATAACTATTAATATTTTTATGCGAGGCAGAGAAAAAAGCAATATTTGCAACGGTTTACTCTAAACCGTTAAGTTAATTCATTCTGTTTTCTGGTGTTATATTTATTATTAATTTATTTTGGAAGTTTCACCAAGAATGTATGTTGGGTATATTGCTGTGTATATTTTGCTGAGATACTTCAAAATATTGATGATTATTATAATTGTTTTCCATGTTTGACATTATAACCCCCTCCGGGACAAATATCCTTTTGGTGATCTTAACACATATTTGGAATTATTTTCTTAGGATGGATTCCTGTCAGTCAGTTGTTGAGGTCTGCAAAAATGGTGAGGTTTCTTCTATTTTATTAAGAGGTAAACATTTTTATTACTTTTGATGTGACTCCAAACTTCTTTCCAGAAATTTGTATTAATTTACACTGCCATCAGCAATGTGTACCTTTTTTATTTTACTTTTCACTATCTAAAATCTCAAACATGCCAAATTGGAATAGTAAACCCCCACATACTCAACACCCGGCTTTACTAATTATCGATATTTTTCTATTCTTGTTTAATGTGTGTCCCCCTTCCAATATACAATTTTTTTTTCTTTCCTGGTATATTTCAAGTAAATTGCAGATGCTATAGCTTTTCACCCATAAACACTTTAGTGTATCTCCAATAGGTAAGAACACACACTCACACACACGTACACACACACACAGAAAACCCATTACTGCTATCACACACAATTAAATTAACAACAATCCATGAGTCAAGTCTAATTGAATCTTTTAATACCTGGTACACGTTCAATTTTTCCCAATTTTGTCAAAAAATATTTTTAACACTTGGCTTATTGGAATCAAGATCCAAACCAACATTGCATGTGATTGATCTATATTTTAAGTCTTTTTGAAAACTCTAACAGGTTCCCCTCTCCTCTTTTGTCCCAATTCCACTTATTTGAGGACCTGGGCCAATCACTTGTTCTACAGCAGATCTCATGCTACTCACCTGACTGGCTGCACCCCTGTGGTGTGCCAAACATGCTCCTCCACCCCTACTCCCCAAGGTTGGTAGCTGGCAGAGGCTCCACTAGACTGTTTCAGTTAAAGTTGCTAAGCTTTTGAAACTACTTTTAAAATGTCCTCTGGAAAGGTTATAAGTATTTAAAGAATCTAAACCATTCTTAAGGACCCAGTTAAATATCATGGTAAGTGTTTGTTAAAACCTTGCTCAGTTAGGGACAAACAAAAAAACTCTATTATCTGCATCTGGGTGAATTCCCCTAGAGGCCAGTGGGAGATGAAATATAAAAGTGGCATGAAGACTTTCAGATGTAAGCCAAAGTGGAGTGGGAAAGCTATTTCAGTCCATATTTACTTAGTAAAATTTCCAGCTCTGTGCCCCCCAGCTGGGTGCATTGAACAAACAGCAGAATTAATGTAATACAGATAGCTATCAACTTAACACCACCTGTGGAGCAAACTCTGTTTCATTCACACTCTAGGGAAAACACTCTTTTCCTTTACTTTCTCATGTTCAGTGATTGAAACACTGCAAATTGCCCAAAACTGATAAAAGACAAATTAGTAAGATTTTTATTCATGCATATATACAAAGTCCACAGAACAATGTGATTAAAGAAGGCAGTTAGAATTGGGGGCTTATATATCATCGTGATAGGAGAGGGAGAGGGTGAGAAGGACACTTATGGGGAAACAAATGACCTTTAGGAAAGAGAAATGGATCCTTAGGAGAATAGATGGGCAATATGATAGTTCTGTGACAATGTATGTTTGGGTGATTCTTACCCCAGTGCCAACTTCTCATCTCTAGCGATAGGAGCTAATCGTCCCTGGTTGCGAAACACCCAAGAGGGGATTCATGACTGTTGAATTCCTTTGGGAGGCACTGCTTTTAGGCAGATCAGGGCAATTCAGAAAAAAAGACTCTTCATAGTGGTATATTCTGCATCTCCTCATTTTCCCCATCTGAAACTTTCCTAGAAGTGTCACAGAAAAGGGGCTGAGTTATTCGATCATCCCATATCCCATAGAACCAGTCTCCCAGTCCTGAGAATGGCAGTCTCATGACAGTTGTGTCTCATTTCAGGAGGTAGTGGTGCCGGTGGGAGTCACTGAAGTCAGACCTTTATACAGTGCAGATAATCAGGCATTTGATGAAGGGCATTTCTATGGAAACAAAAGAAAAACAAAGATTAATGGCTGGAGCAGACCATAAAACCAACTTTTTTTGTCTTTCAGTCCAGAGTGCAGCCAGTCAAGAAGATTTCTAGACATTGGGCTTAAAGTGTCTTTAGATGATGGGGTGAATGTGGTAGAGGCAATGTGATAGCCATGGTTGTTACCTGGAGCAGAGGATGGAAGACAAGATGTTCGGGTGAACTTTCTGAGTGGGCCAGAACATTTACCACTGTTGAGATAATTCCTTAGAAGTTATAAATGTATCAGTGCACCCAGATTCAGCTTGTAGGCTTTGGGGAAAAGGCACTTTTAGTTCTGAGTGATGCCAATTGAGGAGGATGGGAGAAAAACTGAAAACATTAGTTACTAAAAAAGTATAAGATGGCAGGATCCAGTTTATAAAAAGGTGAAAACAGCTCAAAGACAATAAACAGGACTAGAATTTGATAACCCACAAGGGTGGGTTATAGTTTTTCACTGAACATAAAATTTCTCTCTATAATTATTTTCATTTTGATCAAAGATCAAACCAAAGTAAGATTATTCTTGTTTACAAAATAAGTCTAGTCTTATTAAATTTTGCCTGATAATTTGCGTAAGTGCAGAAAAAATTGTAATGGACCACATAAAGCTTTTTAGGTTTGATTTACTAGAACTTTTATAAGGAATCTAAGATTAGACTTTTATTATTAATAATAAAAGCCTTAGGCCGAGCGCGGTGGCTCACGCCTGTAATCCTAGCACTCTGGGAGGCCGAGGTGGGCGGATTGCTCGAGGTCAAGAGTTCAAAATCAGCCTGAGCAAGAGCGAGACCCCGTCTCTACTATAAATAGAAAGAAATTAATTGGCCAACTAATACATATATAGAAAAAATTAGCCGGGCATGGTGGCACATGCCTGTAGTCCCAGCTACTTGGGAGGCTGAGGCAGGAGGATTGCTTGAGCCCAGGAGTTTGAGGTTGCTGTGAGCCAGGCTGACGCCACGACACTCACTCTAGCCTGGGCAACAAAGTGAGACTCTGTCTCAAAAATAATAATAATAATAATAAAAGCCTTTTGAGGGTAGGAAGCCAAGCCAAGAACTTGCCATCAGTCTTCACTTGGATGTCTGTAGATTTAAGTGGATTCTTCTTTTCTTGCAGTCCTCAAAATGTCCTAAGTTCCCTGCCACTGCCATGAAAGTGACCTTCATCATTCATCTCTAAGGCTGGGAACCATGTAATCCAGGTAACAGGCCAGTTTTTCCAAGAGTTCTTTGTAAGCATCAGCTCCATAAAGCCAAACTCAGTTCCTTAAATCTGTCTTGTCATATCTGACTCTCTGCACACTGTCCTCAAATATGACCATCTAATCAAAGCCTTGGTACTATAACCAGTGTTTCCAGTTATGTCCTGTTACCAGAAGAAGAGAGTCCTGTTAAACTTATGCAAATAACCATATTGCCATGAAAATAAGAATGCTCAGAGTTTCTGAATGCTGGAGGCATCAGGTAGAGAGAAAAAGATGAATGCTTCATTTTTGTTTACAAAAGTATAATCTACTAAATTGCTATAAGTTATAGATAGTTTAAGAGAAAAGAAAAAGTGGACCTTTATCTCCAGAAAATAGAACCTCAATGTTCCAAACAAAAAGGCTATAAAAATTATAACTATTCTTCATCAGTTCATTCGGTCCCATATAATTAATTCTTGTTCTTAATCTTGGGTTAGCAGTTTTATGAACTCATCAGTTTCTCTATTCGTTCTGGAAATCCTCACTCAGTCCACTGGTGTAATCTTAGTTATTTAGGCCATGTCATTAGAAACCTGTACTTGCAAGTACCTGTCATAGCCCTTTCCATGGGTCTCTGAGACAGTCTCTCCTGTTGAAGATGAAGCACTTTGTGTTGTAACTGATTACAGGAACATTCAGGAAAGCATCAGAGTAAAACAAGGACTATCTGTGAATGACAAAAGACTTACAATGGCCATGGTTAAAGCTCTGATGAGAGTTCATTATAACATAAGTGACAAGGCAATTTGGTTGTCTCTGTGGCATACAACATTTAAAGACAGTAGCTGGCATCATGACTGATAACATTATACCAGGACATATCATGGACAGCAAGGACATCGACTGATTTCAGGGAACCTCATATAATTTTTGTTATTATTTTTTATTTAGTTAGTTAGTTATTTTTGAGACAGGGTCTCACTTTGTTGCCCAGGCTAGAGTGAGTGCCATGACATTAGCCTAGCTCACAGCAACCTCACACTCCTGAGCTCAAGCAATCCTCCTGCCTCAGCCTCCCCAGTAGCTGGGACTACAGGCATGTGCCACCATGCTCGGCTAATTTTTTCTATATATATCAGATGGCTAGTTAATTTCTATTTATAGTAGAGACGGGATCTCACTCTTGCTCAGGGTGGTTTCTTACTCCTGACCTTGAGCAATTCGCCCACCTCGACGACCTCCCAGAGTGCTAGGATTACAGGCGTGAGCTACTGTGCCCGGCCTAATTTTTGAAATACTTATATTAATGACATATACTAGGGTGGATGCAATGACTCCCAGAAATTTGGGAGGCTGAGGTGGGAGGATCGCTTGAGCCCAGGAGTTCGAGACTGCAATGAGCTATGATTGTGCCACTGCACTCCAGCCTGTGCGACAGAGTGTCCCTGTCTCTAAAATACATACATATATATATATACATATAGACACACACACACACACACACACACACACACACACATGCCCATGCAAATATAACATAGATAAAAGTTAAGTATCTCTTTTTATTTAACAATGCTTCCTAAGCAACTTAGAGTATCAAATAGACCTAATTAGTTTAATCTCTGTCTTCACAAGGTGAGAGAACAAATTCTTTAAGATTTCTCAGGAGCCCTCTTGATCTTAAAGTCAGTTTGAAGTCAAGAAGACTTCATTTAGAATTCGATTTGGGGAAGTTGTCAAAAATGTCAAATGGTTTGAACATTTGATTAAATAGAATCACAGAATCACAGGTTATTTCCTTGTTTTAAAAAGACTTGGTTATTTTAAATAATCAAAGACAAGATAAAAGACAACATAGAGTACAGGAAATTATTCTGATAATACATAGAATCTTTGTTTTGTAGGCAAATTATTCAAAAGGTCGAGAAAAACCTTTATAATCTCCTATTAAGAGCAGATCAATAATCCAAGAAACTTTATCCTTTAAGAGAGAGAACATCAAACTCTAGTTTTGCAGTGAAATGTGCTCGATATTAAAACTCACTTTAACAACTTATGATAAATCTATTCAATCTTAGCCAGCTTGACACATGAATTAAACTGTGAGCTAAGTTGACAAAAGAGATTAGCAAGACAAAAGACAGATTTTTATTCATGTACATACAGCAGAGTTCACAGAAAAATGTGGTTCAAGGAGATGGTTAGAATTTGGGGCTTATATTAGCCAGAGTTCTCCAGAGAAACAGAACCAATATATATATATATATATATAAATACACACACAAACACATACTCACTTGGGAAGTGAAGTTCCAAAACATAAGAAGTGTCACTTCTTATGAGCTGTTTGACCTTGGGTAAGTCACTTAACTTCTCTGAGTCTCAGTTTCCTCATCTATAAAATGCAAAACACAGGATTGTTGCAAGGATGAAATAAAAATCATTCACCTAAAGCTCTTAGTCAAGTTTTTAGCTTCCATTCAGCTCATTCTTATTTAAGTCCTTTGATTTTTTCCCCCCTGGAATTGAAGTTAAAAGAGGCGGTATACACAGAAATCAATAATAATAATAATTTCATTAGTATCAACAAAATCGTACTAATATTACAAATAATCCTCATGGATGTCAACATTAGCATTTGCGCATCTTCCTCCCTCCTGTCTAAAACACGCTCTTCCACAACAAAACAAAGACACAAACAACCAAACTAGCAAAACCCACAGGTTTGCAACAGCCAAAGCTGGAGCAGTTGCCAGTTCTCCTCCATGTGACTTTGACATCTTGGAGGCAAAGAGAACAGTAGTTGGGAGTATTCTCTGGCACTAAATGGCCCTGGGCCTAAGGCCCAGCTCCTCTGCTGTGTAACCTGATTGTCTTAACCCTCCACACCCAATTCATTATTATCAAGTCCTAAATCTATTATCTCTTAACTCTCTCACCAACCTATCCATTTCTCTCCATCTCCCCTGCTCTCCCTTATTCCAAGCCACTGTCCCCTCTTAACTGAGCTGCAGGACTCTCCTAATGGGCCTTCTTCCTTCCACTCTTGCTTTCTGTATTCAGTAGGATTAGCTTCAGCTGGGAGTGATAGAACATTCAAAATAATGTGGCTTAAAGTCAACTTAAAATTTTATTTTTTTCTCATATAAAAATCTAGGTAGCCCACACAGAATCCTTTAGAATGTCTAAAATTAAAAAAACTGACAATATCAGGTATTGCCAAGCTACATGGAGCAAATGGTACTCTCATTCACTGCTCATGGTAATGCGAAATGCTGCACCCACTTTGAAAAACTGGCTGTTTCCCATAGTATTAAACTTACACCTACCATATTTCCCAGCCATTCCACTCCCAGGTATTTTCCTAGAGAAATGAAACATATATCTACACCAAGACTGTACACATTTATGTACACAATAGCCCAAAACAGTAAACAACCCAAAGGTCCATCAATTGCTGAATGGATTAAACAAATTGTGATGCATCCATATAATAGAATACAACACAGCAATAAAAGGAACGAATTACTGATAGAACAAAATGGATGAATCTCAAAATAATCATGCTGAATGAAAGAAAAGAGTACATACCATATGATTCCATTAATATGAAGTTCTAGAAAATGAAAAGTAGTCTATGACTCAAAGCAGATCAGCTGTTGTCTCATGCTGGGAGTAGGTTGGAGGTTGAATTGCAAAGAGGCATGGGAATCTTTCAGGTGTGATAAAAATGTTCTGGCCCTTGGGTGCATTGGTAGTTGCATGGATGTATACAACTGTCAGAACACACCAAGTTGTACATTTTAAGTGAATGCAGGATTTTTTGGTATATATATATTTTTTAAAAAGTTAGGTTATTAAGTATGAAATGTCCAATTTCCTTAAGTACGAAGTTTGATAGTTGATATCTGTGACATTTCACTTTGATGCTTCTTGTTTTATTTTTATTGTAAAGGTACATCCTCATTCTTTCAAACACACACTTTGGCTTGTGATCATCTTTCAAAAAATTTTTAGAGCAAATTTTATGAAACCATGGATAAGTAAAAAAATCTGTGTTATTTTCGAATATGAGTTCCATCGTAGAACAAATGCTGCACAGACAGCTAGAAATATCAATGAAGGGTTTGGGAAGGATGTGGCTAATGAATGCATAAGATGTCGATGGTTTGAGAAGTTCCGTTGTGGTGATTTTAATCTTGAAAATGAGCCTTCTGGGCTATCTGAGACCAAGGTGGATAATGACGAGTCGAAAGCTGTAGCGGAAGAGAATCCATCTCAGCATATGCGTGAATTAGCAGCAAGTTTTGACGTTACTATTCAAACAATATTGGACCATTTGAGACAAATGGGCGAGGTAGCTGGATAGATGGGTTCCGCATCAATTAAACAAGCGTCAGAAGAGAAATTGCCTCGAAGCTTGCCTTTCTTTGCTGTCGCAACATAAAGGCCAACCATTTCTACACTGTATTGTTACGTGCGATAAAAAATGAATTCTCTCTGACAATCGCAAGCGTTCAGCACAATGGGTGGATAAAGATGAAGTGCTGAAACACAGTCCAAAACCAGTATTTGTAAAAAAAGAAAAAAAAAAAAGCTAATGGTGTCTGTTTGGTGGTCCAGCACTGGTGTTATCCACTATGCCTTCATGAAACCTGGTCAATAGGTGACAGCGCATGTGTACTGCGACCAGCTGGACAACATGATGAGGATGCTTGTGAATGAGCAGCTGAGATTGGTCAACAGAGACAGGCCGGTCCTCTGGCAAGACTGCTCGACCACATGTCTCACAAACAACACAGCTCAAACTACAGCCACTGGCCTTGGAAACTCTCTGTCATCCACCTTGCACCCACTGACTACCACTTCTTCCAGGCTTTGGACCACTTCTTGCAAGGAAAAATATTCAATTCTCAACAAGCTGTGGAAAACACCTTTTGCAATTTCATCACCACTCGCTCCCCAGGCTTCTTTGCTGCTGGCATAAGCAAGCTACTGTTAAGATGGCAAAACTGTCGATAGTTAGGTGCATACTTTGATTAGTTGTGCTGCTTCTTATTTGCGATGCAATAAACTAAAGTTTTGATTTGAAAGCAGACATAGGTTAATTAACGTAATAAATTGAAAAGTCAAAGGAGCTGTCCAGGGCTAGTAAAGCACTCCACAATGTCAAGAACCCAGGATCCCCTTTTCATGTTACTCCTCCACACGAGGCTTCGTCTTCATGGTCCAAGACAGCAGCATCTGGCTTCCAGGCTGCAGGATGGAGGAAGGGACAGAGAAGGCAGCAAAGAGCACCTGCGCCTGTTCTCTAAAAAGAGGACCTTGGAAGCCCTTCCCTCCTGACAATCCAGCTGACACACGGTGGGCCATAATCCAGCCACAGAGACTAGTTGCACAGGAGGCTGGGAAATGTAGTCTTTAGCCTGGATGGTTCCAGATCCTGGGGGAAATAAACTATGGAGGAAGGGGAAAATGGATACTAACAGACAATTAGCAGATTTTATTTTTGATGCCACCACTTGTATTTTGTCAAAATGTGCATCTGATCAGATTATCATCTCTGCTTCAAGCTCTTCTGTGGCCTCAGAATACAGTACAAACAAGCTCCTTGCCATGGCTCCAAAACCTGCCCCGTCTGGCAAGGAGCTTGTCCTTTGTATCTTAGTCTCATCTATTTCAGAGCTCCTCTGCTCCACCTTCAGGGTTTCATTGACTCTGTTTCCCTCTGCGTGGAAACTTTCCCCTGCTTCTTTGTCTAGCTAACTGCTCTGTGTCCTTTGGCTCTCAGCTGATCCTCACGCTTTTGCTTTATACTTACTTTTCCTACGTAGCACTCCCCACAGTTGGTAATTTTATACTTGTGGGACAATTTGATCAAGATCTTCCTCACACATTAGCCTGCAAGCTCTTTTGTTCACCTCCGTATTCCAGTGTCTAACTGAGTACCCTGCAAGGCAGAAGGAGCTAAATTTTGGTGGAGTGAGTGAAAGAACGGATGCATGCACTATATATTAATATAAGCATGTACTGTTAATTGAACTGAGATTGCCAAGGAGCAGTTTTGTAGTTCCACCGAGCTCCGAGGGCAAAACAGCTCACTTGCTAATTATCTTTGTTAGGTGCCAGTTTTGAAAGACTTAATAGTAGTTCATATGATCATGTGACCTGTACCACCACCCTAAATGTTTAAGCCACCATCTGTGCTTTGAGCAGAGATCTTTCTATACATATTGTCTGCTTGGGTGGTGTAGTGGGGTGGGGGATGGTAATGTGAAATCAGTAAAATTTGTGGAAATAAAAGTTACTGTACAGTTCAACGCCCGTGTCCCTAGGGGGGAAATGTGAATTATTTAGGGCAGGAACAGCTCTCAGGGGAGAGCTGCCGCAGGTTGTGATGTGGTTACATTGTTCATTTAACTGGAGAGGCAAAGCTCTGTTGATCCACTTGAGGGGCAAATTATTCTCAAGTACATGGTATTTATTTAGAATGCAAATACGATATGGTCTGCTTAAGTGGGAACTTTGACAGGATAATTATAGGATAGTAATAGATTCAAAAAACTAGGTTCTCCATAGTGCGACTCGTGGTTAGCCAGCTATATAATAAGCAAAAGTGAAAAATCACTTTTTTTTAATAAATATTTTCTTATTCAAAGCTTCCTTGATTTACAAAGCTTTGCCAAGTGAATCCTGTTAGTGGCTTTTCTTATAATTTTGACATGGAAATACACTGATTTCATTCCGTATAAGCTTCAAAACATTAGTGAAAGAAATAGATGATTTGAGATATAAACAAGGGGAAGGGGCAGGCAGAGCCTCAGGGGAAATAGGCCACGAGGTTCCAGGTGGACACCTTCCTTTCCATGGGTGCTAAGTGAGACTGGACACCCCTGCCTAACATAATAGGTGCTTAAGGTATGTTTGTTGAATGAATAAATGCCATTCTCATGAATAGAAAAACTTGTGTTTTTCTAAGAGGCATTGCAGATATATAGCTATTACAAGCAATTAAAAACGTTCATCTGCTTCCTATGTAGAATCCTCTTGTCTGCCACTGGCAATACATCTATGCGCCATACTTTTCTAAGCCGTATAGCAATGGTCACTGCAGAAATTATCTCATATCATCATTTACTTATTGTCTTCCTCACTCACTATATAGGCACCTCTGTTTCTTAGCAGTTTTGTCAACCCCACCCTTTATTTCCAGCACATGTGCGTCACATTACAGGTGTACAACAAACCTCTGTAAATGAATGAGTGTGTATCTCATTTAATCTTTATAGCAACCCAGCATGTAAAGTATTATCTCCATTATCACATAGATGAAGAAGAAACCAAGACATAAAGGAGTTAGGGAACTTGCCCAAGGTCCCAGAGCTTGTAATTGTTGGAGTCAGGATTGGAGCCCAGGCTGTCGAAATCAGGAGCCCTCCTTTTGAAATATTATATTGTATTACTTGGTATTCTCCTTTCCAGCCTGTATCACCAAACACATCGATTTTAGTTAGACCAATTAAAAAGCAACAACTTTTTTCAACACTATCAAAGTGCATTGTATTTGCCATGGTCCGAATGTGGGTGTGCCCTCAATAGTCACGTGTTAAAACCTAACCCTGAAGGCAGTAGTATTAAGAATTGGGGCCTTTCGGGGGTGATTGGGTCACGAAGGCTCCACCCTCACGAATGATATTAGTGCTCCTATGAAAGAGCTTGAGGGAGCCTGTTTGCTCGTTCCTGCTTTTGCCCTCTTTTGCCATGAGGACGCAGCAAGAGGCACCATCTACGAAGCAGAGAGTGAGCCTTCACCAGGCACCCAATCCGCTGGCTCCTTGATCTTGGACTTTCCAGCCTCCAGGATTGTGAGCGATAAACTTATGCTCTTTATAAATTACCTGGTCTAGGGTATTCTGTTACAGCAGCCCAAATGGACTAAGAAAATACTCTCGTGTAGTTACGATTTTTTATCCTAATTCTTACAATGGTTTTACCCCAAAGCGGGTCTCAGCACATTCTCATTTATTCATCTTATCTAAATCTCTGCACTCAACTTTCTGAGCTCTCAGCCTCTGGGCTCTCCCTGCTTCCATCTTTACTGCACAGTTGCTGCCATATTGTTCTGCGTTACACCCCTCCACCACCACACATTGATCTCGTTACTTGCCAGCTCAGAACCTTCCAATGCTTGCCTGCTGCTCCATGATAAAAGTGTGAAGTCTTTGCCTTGCTAATCAGTTAGGAACAAGTTCAGACACAAGTTAAGTCAGACCCAGAGTAATAGTGGCTTAAACAACCAAGAAGTTTCTCTCCTGTGAAACAATCCAGAAGTAGGATGCCCAGGGCTGATATAGTCATCAGGGAGCTTAGTTCCCTTCTTCTCTTCCATCATGCTTAACCTTTTTGCCTCATGATCCAAGGTGGCTTCTAAAGTTCCAGCCACTGTGTCCACATTCCAGAATTCACACATAGAACTTTCCTTTAAGTCTTACTGGTGAGAACTTTGTCACATGGCCACACCCAGCTACCAACGAGGCTAAGAAATATAGTCCATTCTGGGCAAATGAGATGTTTTGTTAAAAAGGAAGAAGGGGAGACATCTAGAAGTCTCTACAATAGCCTGGAATTGAAGATCTTTTTGAATCAAGTATCAATCTTGCTTTTCAGATTTCCTTTACCTACTTCTGGTTCTGAATACTCTGTTTGCATTGAGCTCCTATGCTTGCAGTCCCTGAAACACATCTAATATTTTGTCACCTTTCTCTTCTTTACTCACCCCTGTTGGAATTGCTGTTTTGCTTCACATC